TATAAATTTAAACAACATTTACTTAAAAGACATTTATTTTGAACTTCCAAATTATGAACACCAAAACCCCCTTGATCGATCTTTGGGTTGACATATTATGTCCCATCTTATAAGTCTATACTTCTTTTTCTTTTTATGATCATCATCTTACCAAAAGAAACGTGATCTATAATAATCAATATTTTGAAGAACCCCTTTTGGAATTAAAAAAGATATCATAAACATAACTAGACTTGAAAGCACATAATTAATCAAAACCAATCTCCCTCCTTCTGACATATGCTTGCCATTTCAACTACCAAGTTTCTTTTCAATTCTTTCCTCAATTATTTTCCAATCTTTGTTACTAGGATACCTAACACGAAAAGTACTAAGCTTACAATAAAAAATATTGGAATATTGTTCTCGACAGTCCTGAGTCTGACCAAAACAAAATAATTCACTTTTATAAAAATTTATTTTCAGGCTAGATAACTTTCCAAAAACAGATAGTATCAATTTAAAATTCTTAGCCTTCTGTAAATCATGCTCCAAGAAAATAATAGTATCATCTGCATATTACAAAATAGATAAACCATCATCCACTAAATTTGGAATTACGCTTCATCTTTTGCCCTCTGAATTAAAATGGCTAGCATATCGACCACCATATTAAAAAGAATTGGATACTAAGGGAGCTTTACAAGCGGCATTGCCCTTCTTCACTCACGTGATATTACTCTACTGTACCAGTAGTAGAGTGGCTTCAATCAAATCGTTGGTCATTAACTTTTCTGCCAACGTGATCACCTTGGATAAAAGAAGCAATCCATTAATTACAGCAAGTTGATTGATCACGAAACACCATCTTGAGCAAGACTAAATTATTCAGAAGGCGTCATCATTAAGTAACAAGTTGGACAGATCTTCCTGCAGCCCTGCTCTTCGATCCTGATCAGCGCGTCTCTCTGGAACGAGCACAACCAGTACAGTCCACAGTTCGGAAGACAAAAGAAATACGTATACGTACCACCACCAAAATCGAAATGAGCGAGGGGGTTGGGTTAGAGGGTGTTGACGGAGGTGCACCGGATGATGTACAAGAAGAAAGGTGTGTCCGACACGCTCGCGGAGGACGTGGTTTCCATCAAGAAGGATGCCGCCTAGAAGCGTAGCCATATCCATGGACTCGTAACGACCTAGTATGTTGTGTTGATTGATTGGGGAGAGGCGTTTATAGTCATTGTCTCGGGGATGTATGTTTATGCTAAATCACATCAACAAATATCATCTGTTCCAATTCTCAAAAAAAAAAATCATCTGTTCCTATATCGTCATATGATATTTGAATGGCTAAAACAATTGTAAAGGTTAGTCGTTGTTTTGTTACATCGACTAGTTTTTATAATAGATAGTCGAGCGAGGTTTGATACCCGGTTTTCAAGTTGAGGGGCGTATTTTAAGATAAACAGGATAATTGTTTATTTCGGAGGGTACAACGGTATTTATCTCTTTCTTGTTTTTTTATCACAGTTTGTCACAAGTTGCCACCCCCACAATTATAGATGGCCAAAAGGCCCGAGGCCCGACGGCCCGGCCCAAGCACGGCACGGCCCGACGGAGGTCAGGCCCGTGCCGGCCTGGCCCGACCACCGGGCCGTGCCTGGGCCCCTCCACCGGCACGTTGGGCCGGCCCGGCCTGGCACGATGGGCCGGCAGCTAGGCTCGATACACAAAAAAAAATAGGGGAGTAAAAATAGACATATTGTATGCCATGAACGAAAGAATAGGGACCTAAAATAGACTTTTTTTATCTATACATATGTCAGCCAAAGAGGAGGGACAGAAAATAGACTTATTTTAGCTATACATATGTCAGCCCAAAGAGGAGGGATGGAAAATAGACTTATTTTAGCTATACATATGAAATAGCCCAAGGAGGAGGGACGAAAAATAGACTTATTTTAAAAAAGCCCGATGGACCACCCATGCCTTCGGGCCGGCACCGCACGGCCCGACAGCTGGTGGGCCGTGCCTGGGCGGGAGGTGCAGCCCATGGGCCGGCACAGCCCGGCACGAAGTGCCTATCGGGCCGTGCCGGCCCAATGGCTGCTGGGCCGTGCCCAGCCGTGCCTGGGCCGGGCCGTGCCGGGCGGGCCCTTTGGCCATCTATACCCACAATGCTTAACTGCTGGGCAGTTAGGTCGAGCAAGAGACCAAATTATCGGGACTATCTACAAATCATTCGCCATAAAATGAACCCAAATGTAGTCGGATTTTTCTCTACTGCGAATCCATGCCTAACGACTCAGTGGACCTCCAATTACGTACACCCTTTTGCGATTAATTAGGGACTAGTACGTATTTTATTTTTTAAACCATATGATTAATAACACATAAAAATTACAATGTAATTATTCTATAACTAGTAATGTAAGTGGTATGTAATTATAGTGTAAGTGGTATGTAATTATATTGTAACTGTAGTGGAAGTGGTATGTAATTACGTTGTAAGTGTAGTGTAAGTGGTAGGTAAGGATGGCGTAAGTACTGTAAGTACCTCGTGAATGAATTATAACATAGTTTTGGCATTGAAATCATTCATCCTACTATGCTCAGTTGGTTAGTCGCTCTGTCTAAGAACTAGAAGACCAGATTTCGACTCCCCCTCCACTGCGCCTAAAATTTTTTCCTTTACACTGACACGAATCTCGATGAATATCGTATGGGCAACAATTTGACTGTTTTTTCTTAGAAAATCTGGTGACATATTTATAACAAATCCGAATTATATTCAGATCGAAAGCATTATTATTATAAGCAGCAAGTTGGAGTGAAGTTTCCTGCAGCACTGCTCTTTTATATGGCTATTTTAAGTTGAACTGAAGTACGAAACAGATATATATATAAGCGATCGATCCTGATCGATCAGCGTCTCTCTAGCAGAATGAGCACAAGCACAGCGTCTCTCTAGCTAGAATGAGCACAAGCACAGTTTAATTAGAAGACAAAATTAGAAACACGTATATATATATATATATATATGTACCACCACCGAAATCGATCGAAATGGACAAGTGGGAGTTAGGGCTAGAGGCCACGATCTGCATAGCCTCGCTGGTGTTGACGGAGGTGCACCGGATCAGGAGGGACAAGAAGAAGGTGCCCGCCAACGACACGCTGGAGGAGGACGTGGGTTTCATCAAGAAAGACTTCCAACTCATGGAGTCGTTCCTGGCGGATGCCGCCGAGAAGCGTAGGCAGACGGCGGCGGCGGCGACGACGACCTCCAGTTTTTATATCAATTAGTTTTTATAATAGATAGTCGAGAGAGGTTCGATACCAGTTTTCAAGTTGAGGGGTGTTTCTAATATAGACATGATAATTGCTTATTGGGAGGGTACAATGGTATTATCTCTTTCTTTTCTTTATCACAGTTTTGTCAGTTTGTCACAAGTTGCCCACCCCCCCTCCCCCTTCCCCTCCATGCTTCGCTGCTGGCTAGTCTGATCAACTGGCCGGTGCTGTATAGCAAGTTGGTTGATCACGGAACACCATGCCTGAGTAAAAGACCAAATTATTCTGAAAGTAAGTTGGACTGACTGAAGTACGAAACAGCTATATAAACGATCGATCCTAATCGATCAGCGTCTCTCTGGAACGAGAGCACACAACCACAGTTTACAAGACAAAAGAACCACGCATACGCACCACACCACCACCACCAAAAATCGATCGAAATGGGCGAGTGGGAGATAGGGCTAGAGGCCACGATCGCCATAGCCACGCTGGTGTTGACGGAGGTGCACCGGATGAGGGACAAGAGGAAGGTGCCCACCGACACGCTGGAGGAGGACATGGCCTTCATTAAGAAGGACTTCCAACTCATGGAGTCGTTCCTGGTGGATGCCGCCGAGAAGCGTAGGCAGACGGCGGCGGCGGCGACGACGACCTCCAGGAGTTTGAGCACCTGGTTGCGACACCTCCGGGGCCTGTCTCAAGACGTCGAGGACTGCCTCCAGGAGTTCTGCCTCCATCTGGAGAGGCCGCCTCGCGCCAAATCCAAGCTGCTCCTGCCACTGGACACCATCACCAAACAGATCAGAAGACTGAGGAACGAGATTGAGCATGTGAACAAGAGCAGTGCGATATACTGCAACGCAATTAATTTTGGTCCGGACGCTGCGCAGCCCATGGTAAGAAACGATATATATATATATATATATATATATATATATATATATATATATATATATATATATATATATATATATATATAACACATAGCATATATTGTATACACAAATTACTTTTTGGTTGTCATCATATATGTAAAATAATACTTTTAGATTTGATTAAATTACTTCTTATATATTCATAACATTGTGAGTTGCTTATTTTCATCGTTAAGTTGGTTTTAGTCAATTCCATATATAATTTATGCTGATTAACTTTAATATCTAGATAAACTCATGTTAACAGTGGCGCAGCTAGGGGGTGCCAAAGGGTGCCAACACCCCCCTATGCAAACACTACCACCACTACACCCCGATATAATTTTACTCTATATTAAGGTTAACTAAGATAATATTTATCTAGTTTATTTTGTGTAGCTTGAAAGTATTATCAGTTTAGTTAATTAGCAAGTCTACAAATATTAGCAAGAAACATGATCTACAAAACTAGTTTGTGATTTCTCATCTTTTTCAAAGTAAAATAGATGATACTTATTTGTGAGATTATTCAATAGTTTACATTAAAAGAACTAGTAATCTGCCCGTGCTAACGCTACGGTGTTATAATACATTTTTGTTAACGAATTACACGTTATTTCCTCCGTTTCATATTATAGGACTTTCTAGCATTGCCCACATTTATATAGATGTTAATGAATCTAGACACGTAATGTGAAATGGAGGGAGTAGTAAAAATATGTTTCCTAGAATCCACCCAATTGAGCTTTATTTTGATCTAGGTCAGATATTAAGGCAAAGTACAGTGATATTATATTATCTAAAATATTAATTCAAAACCATCAATAATCATATTTAATCACTTCAATACCAATATATTAGACAATGCACATCCACACTTCCACAAAAAATGGTTGAGAATAAATTACATGTTCCAAGCAATTCCACGACTTCTGGATCAATAACACACACGGAGCTGGCAAAATGGAGCTGGAAAAATCTAGAAGTATCACACATTGACACACCACTACAATTATAGGATAGATGAAATGAATACATTGTGAAACAACAGTCATCACTTCTTCATTTTTCCATCTCTATCATTCAGTCAAGCATATTTGATCCCTTCTATAGATTTTTATAGACTTCTATTTTGTTATCCTCTCCTGCAGTAAGCTGTGTGCATCTTTACAAAGATCAGTGCTCTCAGGGTCACTTGCTTTCGTAAGACGCAATTGCATACGTCTTAGAGTGATTGTCAAAATAAAAGAGTTTAGTAAAAATGTTAGTTAGTATCAAGCATATAAATATATTTGTATCAAGCATAGCAGTGCAGAATATGGTCAAGAGAATAAATATATTTGTATCAAGCATAGCAGTGCAGAATATGGTCAAGAGAATAAATCAGGGATCATGAACAGTTCAAAATGTGCCATCAATGGGGCTATCCTATATTTCCTGAAAGAGTCATCCACTGTTTTTCCTTTTTGATAGCAGTCAATGACACAACGATAAAATGTTCAATGAGATAAAAAAGTACCAATAGGATTAAACTGTTTTTTTACCATCATGTTTTTACAGTGAGTAACGAGACCAAAACTCCAATTGGTTAATTAGTACGTACCAATTAGAGAAATCTTCAAAAAATGAACCAAAACTCCAATTGGTTAATTAGTACGTACCAATTAGAGAAATCTTCAAAAAATGAACCAAAACTCCCCGCGATTACCTTCCACAATTCCACCTTTTCTTCTCTACACAAGCCTGAAACAGAGTAAACATTTGTTTTCACATGGAAAAAATTCCATCAAGCAGTTGGCCATAATGAGAAAGAGCATCCAATCAAGCTATGTATCATTTTTGCACTGCACTAAATATCAGAGATTTGCAGCATTTTTCACTGCACTAAATATCAGTAATGTAAAATATTATTAAAAAGGAAGCTTAACATAAACTTGTTAGTTTTTCTTTGAATGAATAAACTTGTTAGTTCTTACGTACATACTACATACGAACGAAAATAAGGGAGGACCAGATGTGCATTCAGTGATGGTGGCATTCATGAACCTGAGCAGTTTAAAAATGAAGAAATATACATCGCTTCAGAAGCACCAGAAAATAAGATAGAATGAACCTGAGCAGTTTAAAAGTAAACATTGCACATGGTACAAAAGCAGAAATCAATTAATTTCCGGGAGATATAATGAGCATTGCACAAAGCAATGGTTGAAAGGCATTATAATCATACAGTCCATTTTGTCAGATATTTTTAATACATACACATATTTGTCTATACGATATATAATTCTAATCATGGAAGTGTATATTTCATCGTCGATAATTAACTCACTTTTCCTTAAACTAACTCTAGAAAATCCCAATAATTAAGAATCTAATCAGAATCTGCTTGCAAGTATTTGGGTTTTTCATTAACCAATCAACCAATCGCAGCAGAGGAAATTTAGGGGGAGAGGATAAACCAAGGCAATTTCCGACTTACCTTCTGCGCCTTACCACGATGCGAACAAATCGATTCGTCAACTACAGTACAACACTAACTACCTCATCCTGATGAAGGCATGAAACAGAGAAGAGAATCTGAATTTATTCAGACATTAAACATCTGATTTTTTTTTCATAAATTCACAAATAAACTGGTAAGTTGTTCCTTTAGAGTTTAGACAATACATTGAAAGTGCTTGCACATTACTAATGCATGGCATTTTACATATTCAGGTGTCATGAATAAAAATGTAAACCAAATTTGACTTTTTAAAGGGAAAAATTATCACTGCATTCCATGTGGTTCAATAGAGCACAATTCCACAATTGAAGTAAAATCTCATTATGTATATAACCTTTCGGTACACATCACAGAAAATGTATACAACGGAAAGTAAAAGAAGCTCTCAATATTGGCATCATGATTTAGATAATTAAATTCTTCTTTTAACTTGGATGTCAATTTGGATGTTGATCTCTTAAGAGAGCACACAACATGTCTATCAATTTAATTGGTTTCCTGGGTTATGTTGTTGACCAAGCAATGAAGTTCAAAAGAAATTATCTAAATTTTCAGATATAAACATCCCAATAATGACTTACCTTGTTGGCGAGCGGATCGCAGCCTGTGCGAGGCCAGTGCCGGGGTTGAGAAATCCGACCACCGGGACTTGGAATCTCGAACTCGCACGCGGCCAGAGGAAGGGGCTGGTGCCGGGATCAACCACGAAAACAGGGCGGCATCACTAAGGCCAGATCGGAGCAAGAGGGAGGAGCGCTAAAAATCAAATGGAAGACATCAAACCCAAATCGTGCTTATAACTTATTTAAACTGTATAACTACGAGAATCCAGTTTGTGAGTATTTTTTAAGCTCTGTTGAACACATGATAACATCATAATATTGTATTCACATCATCACAATACATGATCTATTTAAATTGAGAAAATAATTTACAGAACCAAAAGCTAGTCTGCACCTGAATTGCCAGCATCACTTGTTTCAATCCCACATAACAGAATGACCAGCACGCATGTTTATTGTACTATAAAAATTTACACCCTACTTATCAAAACCCAAGACATCATAACCTACTCTCATTCTTCAGTAAAATTAGCAACCAGAAATTAAATGGGCATCCCACAAAGGAATTTAACCTTCTCACATCACAAGAACATGCATATAATTTCATATACAAAAATTGCAAAATATTATATCCATGTGAATTAAATTCATTCTTCCAATATAGCAAGCAAGGTGTACACCTCAGAACAAGTAAAAATGAGTGTAACACATCAACAGAGGCGACTTATCACCATATTGGGTTCAGGAATGATCTCCTCTAGATGGTAGATTGTCTAACATTAGTCAATTGACGGGTGACTTCAGAGGGAATTCATCTGAAACAAAAGGCTGTTGGCTCTTGTTAAATTCTCCATTGTTGTTCTGATGGTATTTGCAGCCGCAACCAACTAAAATATTCCCTAATTGCTCCTTGAGCAAACAACTCCCAATCCAATCCACAGAACATTCAATCCTGACCAAGCGATTGTGATGGGACACTAACTGAGCAGATGAATTATAGAACTAAGTAACAGAGTACATAATTAAATTTGAGGGAAAAGGGATACACTCACACGCTTGCGTCCTCACGGCCGAGGAGCTTGACCGGAGTTCTTGTCTTCGGCGACATTACCTGAGACGCCGGGAGCTCGTCGGGCCCGAGTATCCTCCAAGGCCACCATGACCCGTTCCGTCGCCGGGGATCATCGTGTGGGTGCGGTGACGGAACGGTGACGTAAATCCTGGATGACGACGGATGCGACGACGGTGATGGGGATTGGTTGAGGGCGAGCCGGCAGCGGGGATCGGTGGCGGCGAGACGACGGATGCGACGAAGGCGGAGCGGCGGCAGTCGAGGGTGGCGGCGACGACGGATGTGACGACGGCGGAGCAGCGGCAGTCGAGGGCGGCGGCGACGACGACGACGGATGCGACGATGGGTGACGGCGAAGTGGAGGCAGTCGCGGGCGGCGGCGACGGTGGTGGCGCGGGGATCGGTGGCGGCGAGACGACGGATGCGACGACGGCGGAGCTGCGGTAGTCGAGGGCGGCAACGACGGCGGTGGCGCCGCGTGAGAGGGAGAGATTAGGGTTGGGGAGGGGCGGGGACGCGTGAGAGCGAGAGAAAGGGGGCGGAGAGGATGGCGCGGTGGAGAGGTGGAGACGATGCTGAGCGTTGGATTTTACACATAGATGATTTAGACCGTTCCATGAGTAACGAAAGAACGAGTGATGAGTGATGAGTGAAACAATTTGTTGAACTATAGGGTAGATTTAGCAATAAAAATTAGTTTCAAACTTCCAATAATATTATTAAAGAGCTAAAATTAAAGTTTTTCTTAAAGGACTAGTTTACGCATTACTTGTTATTGACGGTGACTATTTGACCTCCTTTGCTATTAATAATAGTTGTTCGGTCTCATGGTTTATCTTCACCCCCACACCTCTCTAATCTCAAATCCTGGCTTCGCCCCTGCATGTTAATACCCCTGCAATGGATTTACTTCAAATGCCGTGACAACTTACTTCTATTTTGTACTAAGTTACTTTTATAATTTATGTAAATTAATTTTGGGATTTATTAGATTTACTTTCATAAATGCTATAAAATTAATTTACATATATGATAAAAGTAATTAAAAAATACATGTATTTTATCATAATATAATCATATCAAATCTTGTTATAAAGATTTTAGTGTAGTAATAACAACGACATAATCGGATCATAAATCGGATAAGTATTTTAAGAGAAAATTCTATAAGAAGAAAAAATAACATGCATGACCTAGATAGCAAAATAGATCTTGAACACTTGTCATGTAATTGTAGTTCTCTTACCGAAAAAGCTATTTCGTGGGCGTCTGCGTGCCCCTCCCCCCGTGCAGAGAGGGGAAGGGCGGCGGACGGTGCGAGTCGGTTTCCTTCCCTTTTTTCTTTCCATTTCCTTCCGTTTTTTCTTTCTGTCTTTTCCGATTTTTTTTCCAATTTTTCCCATGTTTTTCTTTCCCTTTTTTCTGGTTTTTTAAATACGTATGTATATAAACTTTGTATACGTGTATTTTATTTTCTTTACATATATAATCTTTATATATATGCATATACAAAATTGGTATATTTTGTATGGGTACCTAGACAATCTTCATATACGGGTATATATATTTTTATATATTGAAGTGTGTACATATAAAAAAATCTACATATATTTGTATTTATACGTATGTATATAAATATATATACATATGTATAAGCTTATATACATGTATACAAAGTTTATACGTATGTATATATTGTATACACAAACGTATATACACAAATACAGTAGAGGAGATAAGACTAAGGGGCGCAGCTGATCACACGGCCACACGCATGACCAGTCGCGTATCAACGCCCCCTGTTCCTTCACGCATGGCCGGTATCGCCCGATAAAACCAAATAAGTGCATGCTTACTATTTAAATGTTACCCTAATATTCAGTATGTGGTAAAAAACATCAATTATTACAATTTAAATTTTATTAATGGAAATTATTGCAATGGAAAGGAACCATTTTCCTATCCATCTATACGTAGTAGTATACGTACTCCCTTTATGCCTAAAAAAGATCAACTTTTTTACTTTAATCTGAATCTGGATATAGCCTATGCTTAAACTTATATACATAAGTTAATTTATTTTGGGATGGAGAGAGAAGTTTGCTAATTAGACATAATTTTTAACCTGTGGCTCTGAGGCAGTGTGGTATTTTGATATGTGCCAACCACTACCACACAATATAACAAAAAGGCAACCAATTAATATAGCAGACAAAAACTGTATGCCGCTTCGAGATGACATCACAGACGCATTCAGTACCATGATAACTCACCGGTTCGAGGCCGGACCTTTGCTGGCTATCATCACAGATTAGAACAAGAACACGCATTTATGATATATGACGATAACACATATTTGTGATTGAGGTCCATTATGAGAGACACGGTTAAACAAAAAGTGTCAATGACATGTTTCACAAATGCCTGATACATCTGCATCTCTTATCATAGATATGGACATGGAAGGCAAACAATGCATGTGATCTTTGCTCTAATCGTAGACACGGATGGTAAAAAAAAAGGAGTATGTGATTTCAGCAAAGGTCACAGTCGGTTGTGGAAACCATGTCTATGACCATTGCTAATGGGGACTACCTATATATAAGCAATGTCTTTGTAATGATATGAACGCGTATGGGAAAGAAGTGATTATTGCAAAATTCACAAACGCGGATGGGAAGACCTGGTCCACATCCTGGAGGCTTATGTTCTATGCTTGTGATAAGTCCACTTCATAGATGCGCAGATCCAAATACGTGGGTGTCCCATATCTGTGATTGATGATCCTATGGCAGTGAACTGCCACAAAGATAGAATGGTCTAATAAAGGTCAAGATTTAGAAATAGGTTAAAACAAGGCTCTTGTTCAAAACGAACAAATGTTAATAAGAGGGTTTAATTATTAAATTATATTACTCTTAATAGCCAAGAAGCAATGACAAATTAAGCTGTTACCCTCATTAAAGTACATCCAATTGTTTTTTCAAAGCAGTTATTATCTCCAATTAGTTGAGAATAGCCAATGTGGATGTATTAATGTGTGGTTGCATTAGGCCTGTTTGTTCCAGCTTAAGATTATTGAATCTAGATTATTGAGCTAGATTATTATAAGTTGGATTATAATAAGCCGACATAGAATAAGTTGTTAGATGTTTGTTTCTCAGTTGTTTGTTAGCTGTTAGCCACCCAATAATATAAAAAAACACCTTTAAGAGTGGATTACCATATATATTAATATATATTATAGTAATTTGGCTTATAGATTATAATAATCTAACATAATAAGCTATCTGTTTGTTTCAGTTTACTCCTAATAATCCAGATTATAATAATCCTAAGCTGAATCAATCAGGGCCTTAATAAAGGGTTGGGAGAGAAGTTAATCTCTAAAAGTGTTTTCTAATATGCGAATGGCAATTAATTTGGTAAGAGTACAAAATTTGAGTCCTAGAACGGAAGTAATTGAAACATGTAGATTACATTATTTTTTTAAAAAATAATTAATCATTATTATTTTGATACACTTATCTTTAATGAAGAGGTTAGATGAAGCACTACAAAGATAATTCCCCTGCCACATTGTATATGCTTCTCTTAATAATGTTATTTCTTTTTTTCAGTCAATCTCAGTACCAACAGGACCCGCTTTTAGGAATGCTCCACACATCGGACGAGAAATGGAAAAATCTCACCTCATCCAACTTGTTTCTCAGGACGGCGAGAATCATCACATTATCTCCATATGGGGAATGATTGGTGTTGGCAAAACATCCTTCATTAGGAGTGTCTATGAAAGCGAAGAAATCACTAGCATGTTTGAGCAGTGTGCCTGGGTCACTGTATCACATCCTTTTAACCTTCATAATTTCATTACGAGCTTAGCCCATGAATTAGATTCAAACGATTTTAGTGTTCTTGGAAATGGCTTGCAGAAGAGTGAAGAATCAATCAAGGCTTCAAAGAGGAGATGCCTCCTTGTCCTTGATGATGTATCATCTATTGAAGAATGGAGCTTGATAAAACCACATTTGCCTAGTGAAACAAACACAAAGATCATAGTCACCACGAGAGAAGCAAGTATTGCTGAGCATTGCTCGATGACATGCAAAAACATATATAAGCTGGAAGGTCTTAAAGAAGATGCGGCACTTGCACTCTTCAAGAACAAGGCATTCCTACTAGTCCTAAAAAGAATTTTGCTTTTTTATGCTTGGCAATCAAACTTCTGAGCATTAAATGTTTTTATATAGGTAATTAAGTGTTAATTATCTATAAAAAAATTGTTTACTGACCAAGAGAAAATGAACAGTACTCATGATTAAAAATTATTTCATAAAACTGTGGATATTGAGTTTTTTGGTTAAGATTCCTTCATATAGTACTTTAACTTTTTCCAGTTATCTGTCAAAGTTATATATGGAGATCTCACTATACTATTTGAATATTCACTGTGGCTTATGAGCATTGATGTCGGCATTTGTTAATGTGTGCCAATGCTAGTCTGCGCATATGAGAACCCCTTTAAATTTTGTTTGGGATATTTCATCATGTTCTTGTTCTGTAGCAACTCTTTTGTAATTAGTTGTTTTTTTAGAAACAATCTACCACATCCACATTACATTTGTGTATGTTGACAATCTTCTCATAACAACTGTAGGTATTTGTAGATGGTTCAAATATTGATTTGGATCTTGACATGACTACTCAAGCAAAACTCATCATAAAGGAGTGTGATGGCCATCCCCTTGCAATAACCAATATTGTTGGTTTCTTGGCAAGAAAGCAAAAAACAGCTACGGAATGGAAGAAGTTGAATGATGATTTTAGTTCAGGGTCAGTGAGCAAAGAAAATCTTGAAATGATAAGTACAGGCCTTGAACCATCCTATGATGACTTCTCCTATCATCTAAAGTTATGCCTTCTGTACTTATCTGTTTTTCCCAAAGGCCATAATATTAGGCGCAAACGCATAGTAAGACGTTGAGCTGCAGAAGGTTATATAAGTAAGACTCATAGCTTGAGTGCAGAAGAAGTTGGTGAGAGCTATTTTGCAGAGCTTATCAATAGAAGCATCATTCAACCATCAGAACCAATACCTCACAATGCTGGCAATATTGAATATTGTCGAGTACATAATCTTATGCACAAGATTAGTGTTTCAAAATCCATGGAAGAAAATCATGGCTTTGTACTTGAAGTTAGCTCTAATAATGAAGGTATAGTACGAAATTTATCTATAATCAACGTTGGTGAGACAAACAAGAACGTATTGAAGTGTGTTGACCTAACCCATGTACGATTAGTGACTATATTTGGAGAGTGGAGAGCATCTTTAGATTTTAGAAAGATGAGGATGCTTCGGATTCTTGATTTGGAGGGCACATCTGGTTTGAAAGATCGTGACCTGAGTCAAATTGGCAATTTTCTTCACCTCAGGTATCTTTCATTAAGAGGATGTGCTGATATCTATCATCTACCAAATTCATTGGGCAACTTGTGGGACATCCAGGTGTTAGATGTCAGCGGCACAAGTATCATCAAGCTACCAAAGACCATCA